ATGGTAGTCATTACCCTGCCGTTCATATGTATCCTGGTATCTTATAGCTACATTGGGGTCACCATCCAGAAAGTCTCTTCAACCAAGTGGATCTGCAAAGTATTATCCATATGTGGTTCCCACTTTTCTGTGCTGTCTCTGTATTATGGGGCAATATTTGGGCAGTACTTTTTCCCAACACTAAGCAATTTCATTGACAAGGACATCATTTTGGCTCTCATGTACATGGTGGTCATAGCCATGTTGAACCCCTTTATCTACAACCTTAGAAACAGGGATATGAAAGAAGCCCTTGGGAAACTCTTAGTAGAGCAACATTTTTCTCACAGTGACATCTAACTTTTATTTAAATCAGAACCTCATTTGGCTTGATCTCGCCTATTTGATTTTCCATCTGAATATGTCTCAAAACTTTCATGTCTCCAAGGCCTCAGACAGATGATGCATGGTGGATGTACTTGGTAAATATTTGTTGACAAGAATTTCATTCCCTTATTCACAATACTCTTCTCTATAAATAATTTGATCAGCAAATGCTAAATTAATTTTGTTACTTATTTCTGCAACTTAGGTTCATAAATAGTACAATAATATGCAGTTCGGTTATCCCATATTTGAGGAGATTTTTGGAGACTCTTATATTTTGGGCCCATAATCTTAGGCTTTAACACATCCCGGAATCTAAAGTGTAAGCTATATTATTTCACTACACTCTCTTATGCAGACTAAATAGACTTTCTTTTTGTCTTTATAGGTCTATTGAAATCAAAGAATCAAAACTATCTGTCACTTAAATAAGAGGAAATGTATTTCTCTTTGCTCATGGTATGAAGTTATAACAACTCTGAAGACGGAGGGCCCTGTTGGAGATCAACACTCACCAGGGAATCCCCCTTTGCCAACACTGTGTGGTTGATATTGCTTAGCCCCCATACACAATCATTAATGAAAGCATGAATCATGCTAGCCTACTCTGTAAATATAACCAAATTATAGTGCAAATGTCATTGCTTTCCTATAAATGCCACTCCAGACTCAGCCCTGACTATCATTCTTGGACATCATGCCTTCCCAAATGAAGAATGAAAGCAGAACTTCTCAAACTTTAATGTGCGTAAGAATTCCTGGAGAGATTGCTAACACAAGGATTTCTGGAATCTACCACTACAAATTCTGATTTAGTACTTCTGGGATGGGGCCCAAGAATTTGCATTTTTAACCAACTCTCACATGACGCTGGTGCTGCAGATCAGCGAACTACGATTTGAAGAACACCAGTGTAAAGAATTAAATCTTAGAAGTTGTGGGATGCACGTTTATATCATCTTACGTGAATTCTGGTAGTAGTTAGAGTGAAACAAAAGAATATGTGTTATTTCATTGTAGAAAAATCTGTGGTTCATGCTGATATTTTCAGATTAATTCTGGCTACAGTGAATGCCTTTCTTCAATATCTAATATAAGAAGTTATTTCCTGAGTTGTTATATTTTCTTTTCTCTTTCATATACAATATAGATATATAGATACTGAATATCATCCTTTGTAACATCACACCAGACTATATTTTCAATGAAAATGAAGCCAAAGATTTGAAAAAAATTGCATCCTATGTCCATTGGTGCCTTCTTGTTACCGTTAAGCCTTGTGGGATTTCAGTACAACTTATAACTTTGCTAATGTTACTCGAAAATATATTTTAATAGTTTTAAACTAACAATTATTTCACACATGATGCACAATAAAATGTACGTTTTTTATAAAACAGTAGCTGATTGCAGAGTAGATGTACCTCCACAAAGGGACAAGGGTTCTTGACAGGACATTGAACAATTTTATATTATATGATGTCATTTGTTTCTAAAAGGTCTCATGTAACTTCCCATGTTTCTTGACAGGCCATAAAATAGCATTTGTCTTGAATCTATTTCATATTATTGTCATTATATGCATGAATTTTTTTACCCCAATCTATTCATCTCCTCTTTTTTTCTTGCATCTTCTCTATGTAAAATACAATATGTTTACCCACCTTTACATATAAATATGACTAATTACTATGTATTCAGAAGCTGGAGGGACATTTAAGGCTGTGATGATGCTCCAAACTCTAGTCTGTTTGAAGTATGATGATGGAAATCAAAACATTTTGAAGCAGTCAATATTTGATGTATGTGTAGAATATTACAATAGCAACTTTCCTTTATTATTCACTTAATTTCATTCTATAAGCTTTGACTTAGGATATGGATGAATGAAAATAGTCTGGCATTGTTGCCTCTGTCTCCACAGGGTTCAACCTGGACTTCCATTCTTCGTGTACTTGCACAGGCATGTTCAAAGTTAGGTTCCTCTCTTTTCAAAGGACTAAGCCACAGGCACCAAGGAACTCAGAAAATTGAGCCTATTAAAGTTGATGCTTTTGGAGATATTAAAGTAGTCTTGATCAAAAACTGACAAATGAGCTGATTTCAAGGCATAGTATAATCTTTAATAAAATTTCACAGAAAATTTTTGTGTTAATTCAATAAGAGATCGACTAAAAATTAAAAGTTTTAAGTACATTGATATTGTATATATTCTATGCATTGATATGCATAGAAGTAGAAATGCAAATGTTATTACAATAAATTATTATAGAAAAATATGACTAGAAAATACTGTATAAAAGAAATCCCGCTTATGTAAACATGAAATTTTATGACTAAAAACCATTTTTTTAAATTAAAGTTTTTTACTGTTTATTTTCTTCTTCACGAAAATAAACTTGAAGTTTCGCCTTCTAAAAACCATTTTAGAATGATAAAAAATGAATAATAGAAGGGTGAAGTATTTTGACTTTCTCCTTTGTCTTTATGTCTACATTATTTGGATTTCCATCATGAAGCAGAATCAATTTTATAAGCAGCAAGCTAAAAAGGAATTTCCACTTGGGAGAAAAATCCCTCTTCATATCCAAACTATGGCCGACCTATGGGAAACATAAATCGGTAGGGAAGGGCCAGTAAGGAAGTCTTTGCACATCTTTTGGGTTCACACTCACAGGGCATCCACTTTCACGTTCTTCCTAAGGACAGTGTTTCCTCAAAGTCTGCCCTTAAACGCATCTGCCTCAAAATTACCTGGACCCAGATCTCATGAATGAGCATCTCTGGAGGTAGAGCTCAGATCTGTATCTTTAACAAGCTCCCCAGGTGATTCTGTTGAACATCAAAGTTTAGAGACCACTGCCCTAGGGCATCTGTCCTGGAGGGAGTAAGAAGAAAACTGAACAATTACTACATGTTTAATGTATGTCTCTAACCAAGAGCTTGGTGCTCTGTTCTCTTGGGTCCTCTCCCTGGTGGGGAGAGTGGAGTTCACATCTTCATTTCTGAAGCTGGTAAATTGAGAACAGTAAGCTCCAGGCACGTGGACGTTCTCTGCAATGTCAGTGAGACATTTAGGACCACAGAAGTTATAAGCTAAATCTGGTCTCTGGATCTCCTACAAAGAAGCTAAGAAACAAGTCTATACTCCCAGGTGCTAGACAACTTGAGCATAAAGAGAAGAACTGGGTATCCTTCATCAGGAGCAGGTGTGTGTTTGTGTGTGTTCACAGGCACTCATCACTTCTCTGTTCTCTTGCTTAAGTTGCTTCTTTTTTTTTAAATTTTTTGTTTATTGCAGTAACATTGGTTTATAACATTGTATAAATTTCAGGTGTACATCAGTATACTTCTATTTCTGCATAGATTACATCATGTTCACCACCCAAATACCAATTACAACCCATCACCACACACTTGTGCCGAATTATCCCTTTCGCCCTTCTCCCTCTCCCTTTCCCCTCTGGTAACCACCAATCCAATCTCTGTCTCTATGTGTTTGTTTGTTGTTGTTATTATCTACTACTTAATGAGGGAAATCATACGGTTATCACCAGTTCCTAAAGACAAGGATACCACAATCACCACCGGCCAATGACTCGCACACATTTAACCCCGAGCCTTGCAGAGATGAGGGATAGAGCTGGCTAGATGTGTAAATTAGTGGGTACATTCCCAAATCCAGGCTGGGAGCCCCAACTCATCAATACAATTCTAGGTGTCAGAATGTGTGCTTGTTTAGTGCACGCAGTGTTAACTAGCCATGTCTAATACTTTTCTCCAAAATCCCTGATCATTCCCTCCCCTTTAGACAGCACTGCTGCTTTCACCTGAAAGGATGTTTTAAGGACTTCTACCTAGATAGCTTTGGCTCCTTTTTTACTTTATGCAGCACCTATATTGCAGCTCCTTGTTAGAATCTGACAGACAATTTCCAGTCTGTAATCTCTAGTATTTTCCCATACCTTCATCAAAGGCATTAAACCTGGGGCTGATAAAAGATCTACTACCCCAATTACTTTTGCCTTGGTTCCATTAAAGACAAGACACTGAGTTTCTTCACTAGAGATCTTTGCATTTTATATTTATGGAAGCAATGTCACCTCATATACGACACCTCCTAGGATTGAAGTGTTTCAAATACCTTATCTTATTTAATTCTTACTGTGATTCAGGGACTAGTTTTCCAGTTTGAGAGAGGAAACCCTGAGGCTCCAAGAGATGCAATGCCTTTCCCAAAGACATGGATCTACAAATGGTGGAGAGGTGATTTGCATCCCTTCTGTCTGACTCCAAAGCCCATGCTCTGCCTTCTACAGTACACGGCCTCACTGTCAAGGAAATATCAGTTATCAGTAAGAAGCAGTTGAGGTATTTTTGACCAGAAGGCTAGATGTGGTGTAGTGAGATCCTGCATAAGGTCTTTACATAAGGCTTACTCAGAAAAAAAAGAGGTATGGTTCCCACAAATTCTATTAAAATCCTAAATCTCAGTGATTAGATAAGTTTACAAGTTAAGGAAAGCATACTCATCAGTAGAAAGGATCTTATTTTTACCCACCTTAGGTAAATCAAAATTTGTTCATTTATGCTTCTTTCACTGTCCTTTCGTCCCCAGCAGAGAGAAGATGAACATGAGGAGGGAGAACCAGAGCAGCGTGTCTGAGTTCCTCCTCCTGGGGCTCCCCATCAGGCTGGAGCAGCAGGGCACGTTCTTTGCCCTGTTCCTGGGCATGTACCTGACCACAGTGCTGGGGAACCTGCTCATCATCCTGCTCATCAGGCTGGACTCGCGCCTCCACACCCCCATGTACTTCTTCCTCAGCCACTTGGCTCTCACTGACATCTCCTTTTCATCTGTCACTGTCCCTAAGATGCTGACGAACATGCAGACTCAGGATCCATCCATCCCATATGCAGAATGCATAGCACAGACATATTTTTTTATATTTTTTGCTGATCTGGACAATTTCCTTCTTACTTCAATGTCATATGATCGGTACGTGGCCATCTGTCACCCCCTCCACTACACCAGCATCATGAGAGAGGGGCTGTGTATGTTACTAGTAGCTGTATCCTGGATCCTCTCCTGTGCCAATGCCCTGTCTCACACCCTCCTCCTGTCCAACCTGTCCTTTTGTGCTGACAACACTATCCCCCACTTCTTCTGTGACCTTGGTGCCCTGCTTAAGTTCTCCTGCTCGGACACCTCCCTCAATGAGCTGGTCATTTACACAGCAGGAGGGGCAGTCATTACTCTCCCACTAATATGCATCTTGATCTCTTATGGCCGCATTGGGGCCACCATCCTGAAGGTTCCATCTACCAAGGGAGTCTGCAAAGCCTTGTCCACGTGTGGCTCCCACCTCTCTGTGGTATCTCTGTATTATGGAACAATTATTGGGCTGTATGTTTTCCCCTCATCCAACAACTCCAGCAACAAGGACATAATTGCCTCTGTGATGTACACAGTGGTCACTCCATTGCTGAACCCTTTCGTTTATAGCCTGAGGAACAGGGACGTGAACGGGGCCCTGGAGAAACTCTTCACTGGGGCAACAGTCTTGTCTAAATGACATTTGCACATCTTTATAACAGACAAATGTATTTACCTACCTCTAGATGCTAGACCCCTAATCTTGAGCCCAGGATGGAATAGCACTCAGTAAATACTTGATAACTCAAATTGCATTCTGTTACGGTTATTCTCTATTCCTAGCAATTCTTTAGTATAAATTGTGAATTCTGAGTTGATATTATTGATTATTGCTCTTGTCTATTAGATTGAGAAATTACACAGCTAATATAAATTAGGTCTTTCCTCTCATTTCCTGGGAATTTATTCGTTTTATTTTTGAATAGCTTTATTGAGGTATAGTTGACGTATAAACATTGTTTATATTTATAACTTGACATTTTGATATGTATACATTGTGAAATGATCACCATAATCAAGATAATTAATATATCGATCACCACCACATAGTTATCATTTTATTTTATTTTTGTGTGTGTGGTGAGAAGACAAGTTAACATCCACCCTTTTAGCAAATATCAAGTGTGCAATACAGTATTGTTAACTACATACATTGTTGTTAACTATATCTTGCTGTACATTGAATCTCAAAAACTTATGCATCTTGCCTAACTAAAACTTTGTACATTATTCTAGGTGAAATAAATCAGACACAGATAGACAAATACTGCATGATATGACTTATATGTGGAACCTAAAATAGTCAAATTCATGGAAGCAGAGAATAGAATGGTGGTTGCCAGGGGCTGATGTAGAGGAGGAAATGGGGTCATGTTGAGAATTAGTTCTTACGTATTGCTGGAAGATATTGGCTAACAGGGCTTCCTTGGCATAGAAAGGTTGCAGAATTGGGAATTTGTAAAGCATCTTTTCCTTTCCTCACCTGCCATTCAGTTCTTTTCTCATATCTTTTGTTGTTAGCAGTGATGGTGATGGGTCAGGAGAAGAAAATATAGAGCACCTATTATAGCTCCACGAAACTAGCTGCTGTTATGAGGTCAGCTGCTCCACTTAAGGGTTCGAGGCTTCTTCTCGATTTTGGGAACACTGATCACTCTTATAGACTACAGTGACCTTCACTCAGCAATTTGCTCTCAGTTCAGTTGTCCTTGAAGCTCTCTGACTGCATGTGTGAGTTTCAGTCAAGACACAGGCTCAGATACACTTCTGAGACTAAGGACCATGTAAGTGCAAGAGAAAAGTGTTCGGGAAAGTCAGATCTCAATTGCAAGCTGGACCTGCCAGAGTGAGTGGACCCAGGCAATAATGAACCTCAATTTCATCTTCTGTGTAAATGAAAATATTTTAAAACATCTAATATATTTTTCATTTGAAATAACAGAAATACTACATTTGGCTCAGCGTTGTAACTAAAGAAGAATGATGAATGTTAGCTTTCCCTAGCTATGCATCAGAGATTAATTTTGGAGCAGAACTTACACAGATACTCTGAATTATGGTGAAGGTGGGAGCATGGCATGTAGATTATATTCCCAATTCAAAGGCAATCAGTGGGTCCTAGGATACAGCAACACATCTTCTCTGGCTTGAGCTAGAACAAAATGACTAAGGAGCAACGGATGAGTGAGTTGATGGGTGGGTAAATGAGGAAAGATAGAGCAGAAGAATATCTTACTCTCTACTTATTTAGTATTCACTCAAAGAGTGACCCTTGACCTGGAGGTGATGAAGCTGTCATTTATCACTCCAGCTTTTTTTGTGTAAGGACAGAGAGTGCCCTCTACTCTCACCCTCCATGATTAAGCTGCAGGCATGGAGTCATTTTGTTTGCAGACTCAGTCTCAACCAGTTCCGGAGCAGAACCTGAACAGAGCTGGAGCCTTTCTTGTTGGTTTATAGTACACCTTGGTTGCCCCAGACACAACCATGAACTGCTGTGCATTCTGACCCCTGTTGTGGTTATGTCATCTGTAGGACTGAGTGCTTGGCTCAGTTTCCCTGTTTGCACTGTAGTTCTGTTGTTTGGACCCCTGAACATCTACTTAACCCTGTCAGGCCCTTTCTCCAAACAGGTCAATGCTGTCATTCATATTTATAGCCATGGGCCAATGACAGTCCTCTGAATGGATTTTTCTCAAGAAATGTCAAACTCCCTTGCCTGTTGGGAAGTACTTTATCACCACCCGTACTGCTAGATTGGATTTCCACGGTTGTGGACAGCCCAAAGAAAGCTGGTATGTGCCATTTTGATTTCAAAATGTATATGGAACTTCTGGAAATGGCATTGGAAGTATGAGCTTTATTTGGACATTCCTCCTCAGCTATACCAGGGCTATCTCATGACCTTCCCCAGTCATGCACCTCACTGAGTTTAGAACAAAGTTTGGTACATTTTATAAAATTTTGAATGTGTGATGTGATCACAAGTTTATAAATACTTCTGGAATTTAGTCATTTTTGAAACTTCAATTGACCATTTTATATCCTTCTCAAAAGTTAATGATAATATTAATTCTTTCAAAGTGTAACAATTGACAGACCTTTCTCAGATGAGGGAAATCATAACATCCCAGAACCAGGAGCTCCAGCTCTTAAATTTTAGCTTTGGACATTATATATATATAATTTCAAAAATCCTATTTTATCAAGGATGGAATGTGGATAAGAATATCTACTAAAGAATTAAAATCACTAGTTTTTGAAGGAAAAAAAATATCACTCATGTTGGGTTGATTATTATCTTTGAATCCAGGGTTTTTATAAGGAAGAAGGTATAAATGAAATCAAGAGGGAACTGAAGTATACAAAAAATTTAATTTATTTTTCATTAAGGATAAAAAAGTAAGAGTTAATATCAGAAAAACAGTGAAGCTTTCTTTATCTTATAGATTCTGTCAGTCGATAGCCACTCAGCAAGTTAACTTCTCTGTTAGGCAGTGTGCTTAGCCCTGGTCATACAGAACTAGATAAACACACAACTTTACTGCTAAATAAGGGAACACTCTAGTAGTGTAGAGACAGGCAAACTAAAAAATACGTAACAGTATAAAAAGTGCTTTAATATTATAATACCACTAATTGTGCTTATTATGCATGATTACTGTGTGGCAGACACTATATTAAAAGTTTTACCTATATTATTTCTTTTAATCCTCGTAATAATACTATGAATCATATACTGTTATTATATGTATTTTTCAATTGAGGAAACTGAGGCTTAGAAGCAATGACATAAATATAATAAACAGTAGTAGCACAAGGGTGGATATAGTTAATGCTGCCTGGATATCAGCAGAAGTTTTACAGGGGAAGTAGTTCTGCAGCTGGGGGTTGAAGGATGCTTGGGAGTATGACACATAATGGGAGAAACAGCAGTCTACCCAGGTCTAGGCAGAGGGAAGAGAGTGAACCAGGGCATTGAAATAGCATGGTAAGTACAGGGGAATTTTTTAAAAAATTGTGTTGCTGAAGCATATGTGTGTAGGAGTCGAGGCAGCATCAAGAGGTAAGTCTAGACAGGCAGACAAGGACTATATTATGATTAAGGTGCTAGGGGGCCCTGTTAGGGATTTTAGACATTGCCTTGCAAGTGATAGGGTGCCATTGGGCAGGATGGAGTGGAGTAGGGATTAAATCTGGGGAAGGTCATGTTTGCATTTTAAAAAGATTACTCAACTGACCACATATGTGTAATAGATTGGAGAGCCTAGAGACAGGAGCTCAATTAGAAGGTCATTGTACATCCCAGTAACAGATGATATGTGCCTGAACGAAGTCAAGGGCACAGGGATAGAGAAGAGAATAGCTCTGAAGGTGGACTAGACAGGTCTTGGTAATTAATGAGTAATGGATAGGAAGTAGACAGGTCTTGGTCATTGATAGTAAGTAAGTGGGAGAATGAAGGATTGTTCTTGATTTCTGGCTCTGTGAATTGATATTTAGAACAGTATAGAAGACTAGGGACTTTGAATAATTTTGATCAGGTTTAATAGTGTTAAGGAAGGGAGGAAACAAGATTCTGACTACCTGCTTATAAAAAAGAGTTCCAAGCAAAAGGAAGGCAAATACCCTAAATAGACAAGGGGCACCAGGAAGCTCTTCGTCATCCGCCTGTACTGATTCCAATTAAAAGCACATGCTACTCACATTACACTACTGAAAGGCAAAGATTTATAAATAATTTATACTTCAGTGTGAATTATTTTAATGTCAACGTAATATGAACCTTAGCTGAAAAGAGTGACCTTCAAGGAATAGAAGTTTGAACATAGGGATTGGGGATGGGTGTAATAGGATGTATTAAGGAATACATTTGGAACTTTGAATACAGTAGTAACTATTTTGGCTGGGTGGGGTCTAAGAGTGTCAGACTACTGAACAGTGATAGACAACGGTGTCTTTTGGGGGATCTTTGTATGTTCTTTGTTGGCCTAATTCCTAACTGCCGCAGAACAATATTGAGGCAACCAAAATGGACACCCAGTCTCATCTCCCAGTCTGCTTGGGTCTGTGAGAAAGAATTTAAATCCAGAACCAGACAGGGTTCACACATGTACTATGCTGCTGATGGATTAAGATTCCCTGAAGGTCAGAATCTAGAAAGAAACTAGAAGGCCATCTAGAAGAAGCACCATGCAGAGAAACCAGAAGGTGAGGCTGATTGGGACAGTTTGAGCCGCAGGTTCAAGATATTAGGGAGGACATGGATTGCAGGGATGCTATGAGACTGCATCCAGTATTCTCACATCTCAGCCTTCCTCATGTCTATGAACTGCATCATCAGGGGCCTTAGAACTCTATCCGGGGACCCTCTCCCGAAAGAGCTGTTCATGAGAAGTAGAGGATATTTTCTTGCCAGTTCAAAGGACATAAGCAAGCTAGAGGTCAGTGGCTCAGAGGAGACTGTCAGTCGCCCATAGTTTGTAGGACAGTAGATGTCAATAGAATGAAAGGAGAGTTGCAGACTAAGGAGATGAGAGCAGAGAACTCCAGGGATGCAACCAGCTCTTGCTCTGGTTATAGAAGAACACTCTCCTCAGTCATTAAAGGACTCCTAGAGAGAAAATCTGGAAAGGATAT